TAAATATACGATCAATCATGACAGTTTACTTTCTGCTAATTGATCGTTTGGTTTCAGATGTTGATTGGCTTGATCAAACAAGGATCCATAAGGCAAATGCAAGGCAAAGGGCATGTGACCGGCTTCGGCACCTTAAAAAAGTACGCATCATGTTAGACAAAAATGCTGCACTTAGATCCAACTAAAAGATTGATTCCATTTTTGATTATATTTGATTGATGACAATGATAAGTACTGATTTGAGTAGTTGAAAAGGATTGTTCCTCTAAAAAAAATATAATTTTGACTTACTATAGAATAGATTTGGTGGTCGTGCATCAACAACTTGTACACGTTCAGGACTATTGGCCTCCAAAGAAAGATTTGCTATCATTTGATCGAAATATCGCACCATTTGTTCGTTCAATTTCACAATAAATTTTTTCTTCTATGTAATCAAATGATTTTGTCAAATATTTCATAAACTAAGATATTCTACCTCTTTTTTTGGATGACTGGCCTCCGATGTTTCAATTTCGTTGATTTCTCTCACCCATGCATGGAAGCCTCCGTTGAGAATCGACACATTATCAACACCATAGGTCTAGAAATATTCAATTTGAATCTAAAAAAACTTCATTAACAATCGTTTGCATACCTTAAGCAAAAACCAAGCACGACCAGCAGCAAAGAAACCTGCCGGTGAACGATCATAGAGAACAATATGATCTTCATTTGAAACTCCTAAACGTGTTAGATAATCTTCGAAACTTTTCACATCAGGTAAACCACGTGGCATGAATGCCGTCGGCGTTGTATATTCAAGTTGATCAAAATATTGAGCTGTCGGAATATGACCTCTAGAAAAAGCATTCAATCGCTTGTTTTGCACAGACAATTATGAATTTAAATCACGATGTAAAACATACGCTTTAAAATCAGCTTCAACTTGTTTGCCGGCATCTGCTTCGAGTACTACAACCGATGGTGATGACACTTGAAGAAGTTTTTTTAATTCTTGACATGAAAGTACTTGTGGAATTGTCTTTGTCGACGTCATCTAGAAAAGAAAGCAATCATCTACTTTTCTCACATAACATTCTATCGGATTAAGGCGTTCACATAATAAGAACAAAAACAGAAATTGAGAAGACAGACCACTAAGTAACAAAGATAAATCGAACTATCACTCACATATATATATATGAGTTCAACAAAGAGTAACTAGCCGAATTTTCCTCTACATAAAAGGCAAAACTGAGATCTAAACCATTTGTAATGAAAATTTGTCATATTATCATGATTGTTAGATGATTTATTGATCATATCATCAATGAATATAAGAGAAAAACAATAGTGATGTCTAATAATATTTACGAGATTAGTCTTGAAACTGATAGAGCACTATTTCCTAAAACATTTGCAAGTAAGAATTTGTAATGCTACTGGAAAAGAAGAAAATCATTTGAAAAATGGCTTATTGTCTAATTACATTTATTAGAACATTTTCTATACTGTTCAGTTATTATTTCTTCCCAAAGAAATATAGTGTGCAAGCAATTAGAGGAAAAAATAAAAAACAAAACAAAAGATGTCATTGTTGAGTTCGCTTTTCATTATTTTCAATAAACATAACCCTAATGAACAGTTATTCATGTTTCCTGTGAAATAATTACAACTAATAAAGAGTGTTGAAATAAATAGGTAGAAAAGTGAATCATCACCTTGCTTCACAGACCATGACAGACTGTTTGATATGATATTTTTTTTAAATTTTTTGGTCAGATATTTATTATTTAGACGATAACTTATTTAAATAATTATTTTCAAATTTAAATTTCTTTGTAAAAAAAAAAATAATAAAAGAAACGTCGATACGTTTGCCACGGCCGTTAATAGAAAGAAAAATTTTCAATCTGTTGAATTTTGATTCCACCAAAAACTATTATCAACATATCGAATTTTCTCGATCACAATTAAAATGTTTTTATGATATTTCACCTTTTAATATATCCTCTACATGATAAATAGTTTCATACCCATACACGGATACTGTAGAAAAAGTGTAAATATGACAAAAGATATAAATTGTGACATTAGTAGGAACATGATTGGAGCACACGCAGTACTATCTGCATCACTCACTCATGCTAGAATTTTTTGTACTCGTTGAGATACGTATCTGGGCCTGAAGAAGTCTCATAAACACTATTTTGAATGATTCTTTTGAAAAAAGTAGAGCATAGGAGAAGTTTCCATTTCAGAAAATGACCAAATGAACGAAGAATACATAAAGTTTGTTTTTTTATTATTTTACAATAAAAACATAGAAACTCATCTATATTCAAGATAGGCTTTATATTTCGAGCGATCAATTTCACTAACTCGGATAGGTTTTTATGATATGAATAACTTCAATACCAAATATTATACGTACTTGAAAGAGGCATCCATGTTAAAAAGGTTTTTTAACCCTCTCTCTTGCCTTATACAGCTACTCACTGTTACTTTCTATGTATTGCTCATGTTTGTAACTATGCGTCGGCTTGATATATGATGAAAAAATGATTGCACTATGGAGCGTAGCACATGTCTTATATGTGTGGCGTGTTGTTATTCTTTTCTTCAACGTCTTTTTTTCTCATGTTTACCAAACTTTTCTTTTTTTTTGCCATCAATGACATCGTCTTTTTCGTTCTTATCGAAGGTATCGCAATGAAAAGAAAGTAACAGTACATAGGCAAAAATCCGTCACAGTGAATAAAAAAAAAGAAAAATGCAGATGACGTCTGTTATTACTCAAACATAAAATATGGTAATGGAGAGAAAAAAGTGGTCCGTGAAATTGTACCTTGTTCTAACAGAAAGAAAATTGGGGTAGAACACATAAAAATTACAGTTTTGACAAATTCGTGTACCAAAGCTTTCAGATCATATCATCAGCATAGTCAACATTGAACATAAAAAGAAAGAAAATAGTGCATTGAGTATTATGCAGGTCATGCGCACTCACATACTGTTCTTGTTCGTTTAAAAGATATTTGAGTATAATCTACACTAACAATGTTATTCAGTAATTTTATTGGACATTCAATCAGATTCTGTTTCATATGTCATAAAACATTCATACAAATCATCGGATTATTTCAAAGTTTAATGAATATGATTTACATGTGTATACAAAATAGTAGATAATGAAAATTCAAAGAACGATTGTCATTTTTTGGTTAAATGATATCGAAAACGAGAAAGAACGTTCGTTCCCCAAAAATAGATCACTTGTGTTTGTTATCCATTCATAACAATGGTAAGTAGATGCCATTGTTGAGATCTGGAATATTTTGTCGTCATCAAAGAAACAATCATACATCCAAATCATGATTTATTTCATAATTACATTTTGCAAATTGGGAACAAGCTCTTTGTATAATAGAGTTTTGAGAATAAAATCAACTACTTAATTAACTATTAGAATATCAATTGTTTGTTTATTTTGAAGCAAAAAACATCAAAGTAATCGAAGTAAAACAACTTTATGTAGTTCATATTATTTGGATTTTGGTTTTCTTTTTTCGAAATGATGATCTCCTGCGTCTTTTTTATCGAGCATATATTTCAAAAACTTTTTAATAACTAATGTCTGATTAAATTCGTTTTCTTTGTGCCTAGTTTGCGACAATACGTTAAGACTAAAGCCGAGTACTTTTAAAACGTAGAAAATTATATAAAGGCCAAATAGCATATGATGCTACCAGTTGTTCGATTCCGTAAATGGCAAACTGAATGCGTGAACGACGTGTGGTAGAACAATGCATCTTCTCTGCAACAACTTTAACTCGACTATCATGTAACCAGAGCAATGAGTAGAGTAATGGGGAAAAGATAATGAATGAAAGTAAATACTCAAATGTGTGTTGAGATCGAAATGATATCAAAGTTTATCACACAGAATAATTGATTGATGACAAGTTGTTGAATGATTGTGCAATATATTCTTCCATGCATATTCACAATGAGGAGGACAATTAATGTAACCATATTGACTCCAACAGCTATATCATACAAACTACTATGATATCAATAAAATCCCTTTTTTTCTATTGTGCTTGAAAAGTGTGGATTGAGGTCCTCTTTTCACGCAGACTCACAACCTCGAATAAGAGATGAAAATAAGTCAGTTTGATGATTAAATGAAAACTATAAGCATCAATATAGATCACACACATCGATTGTTTCACAATCACCTTAGTAAATAAAACATTGCGTTTTTTGGAGAACGGCGAAGTATATGAGAAAGTATCAAGCTCAGGGTACGCTCTGAATTATTTTGAGGTATCCTGCTATCAGTAGAACACAGGAATTTCTTGGTAGTTAAGTATACTTGAGAAGAGAAGGTTGCAACTCGTCACGTGACGAGTTGAATTTTTCAGAAAAAACAGGGCTTTCGTAACGCTAAAAATAGGGATATACGAGAAAACAGGGATACCGTAACAAAATTTACAGGGCAATCGTAGCTGTTATTTACAGGGAGTTCGTAACAGTTGCAGAGTTTTCGCAACGAGCCAACAGGGATTTCGTAACAAAAATTAGGGGTATCGTAACGAAGTCACATATCAAACCACCGGTTACGATCACCCTGTAAAATTCGTTGCGATAGCTCTGATTTTTTGTTACGAAAGCCCTGATTCTATCGTTACGAAACCTCTGTTACGGGCTTTCGTACTGTCAATTCGTTACGAAAGCCAGACAAGAAAAATCGTGACGAGTTGCAACTTTCCCCTTGAGAACATGAGTCGTAAGATACTGTTTTGAGTAACCTTCTGAAAATTTTCTTAGTACAATATTTTTACTAGACAATGCTAATCAAGATCAAAGTATTTCAGATAAACTTTGATAGCAGAATATGTAGAAAAAAAAAGTAACATTTTAGCTATTATCGATATCGAAGAAGGAAAACAAGATCTTGAACAAGATTCTTTCGCTGCTTGATTATGTGATGACTTTGTTAATAAGCAGATTGTCGTTGTTGATGCAGAACGATAAGACAACATTTTTCGAAAGTGTTCTTTTTTTGGGGGAGGGGAAAGAGGGATAGTGAATTTGTGACACTAGTTGCTTTAATCAATTTATTCATGTTTTTGCGACTTAATTTGGAAGATATTTTTCTATTAAGAAGTTATATCCAACATAAAGCATGTTATTCTATCCATTACGGCAAGAGACGTAACGATCTGTACATTGTTTTATCACCAGTAGATAATCATCACATGTGAACAAAATATGGAAGCTATTCAAATATTTTTATTGCTCAATAATTTAGTGAGAACCTGATATTTTTGAAAAGTTTGTGTCTCAAGAACATAGAAACTATCGAATGATATTATCACAAGACTAAAGATTAAGGATGTATTGCAGTTATAATATGCATGCTGAAAATTTGAATAATGAAGATGAGAAATGGATTAGTATATCAAATAATTTCTAATGTCATGAAGATTATTGGATGAATATTTTTATAAAATAGACAGATAAACTAAATCAGACGTATATTTCTACGACTGTCATCGAGTACAAAACACAGTAAGTGCATTTCTGAATCTTATTGGGATATTAATGAAATTTGTTATCAATAAAATTAGCGAAGAAATTTCAAAAGTTTATATTAGATCAGAAAAGAGATCAGTCTCACTGAACATTTTCATAGAAGTAATACTTCTATAAAGTGTTTTTTACATCATCGAATAGATAGTAACATGTATATTTCACTACATTGTTGCAATAAATTATTTTCATGTTCACTCTGAAAATTATCACTAACGAACTGATTTTCTTTCTCCGATTGCAAGAATCTTTAACCCATAAATCATGTCTAGTGGTGTAGCAAAAACTCTGAAGGAATTTGATTTGTATTGTTTTTTTCTTTAAGTCAGGAAAAAACACATTATGAAGGTCTCTATGATAACTATGAAAATTTTCAGACTTTTGTCTTGATCATTCTATAGTTACACACTTTCCCCTCTAGCAAGAAAATATACCTAGTTCTCAAAAGCCTACAAAACT